ATTTTAAAAATCTAAAAAAGATTATGATTTCATTGATCTTTCTCATTCAAGGGTATATCCTACACAGTTTTTAATAAAGAAGAGGCCCACGGGCCTTATAGGTCACCTGGGTATCATGTAAATTCAGTAACAACTTTCCAGCAATTGAATTTGATTTGTGTTTAAAACTAACAGTGCATCAAAAAGAAATTGCATTCCCACTTGTGCACCCCAACCCTCCTCCACCTCCACGGAACCACTGACCCTGGTGCCACATAAATTAAAAATTTTGGAAATTTTATCATAAATTTTATTTCATCATAAATGGTTGATAAATACCAAAGGGCAATTTCAGAGCACTAATTTATTTTCAGACAGTGTAATCCCCCCCCCACCCACCGGATGACCCAGGGGTCATGAAATTCAAAATTTTGGGAGACATTCCTGCTCATCAATACTATGTACTTGGTTAGCTTGTTTAATACCCAGAAACAGAGAAGAAGATTTTCAAAAAATTTATGCATTTTCACTATATATTGGCAATAAATAGAGCCCCCCCCAAAACATCAGAACCCCTGACCCTTGGGCTATTAAATTCAAAATTTTAGAAGAGGCAGCCCTATTCAACATAACTTTGTACTTGGTTAGTTTTTTTAATGCCCAGAGGCAGATAAGAAAAGAAAAAAATGCATCTTCACAATATAATCTATCTACAATGAAGCCCAACCCTAGCACTAGAACCTCTGACCTTGAGGCCATGAATTTCATATCTTTGGTAGAGGACTCAATGCTGATTACAATCATGCCAACAGTTTTTGTGCATGAGTTTTAGGAGTAAAGAAGATTTTTAAATATTGCATTAATTTCAGTGGTTTTAGCCCCATCCCTCAGGCCCCAGGGGGGCAGGGACTATGAAATTCACAACTTTTGTTCCCCTTCACCCAAAATTTCTTTGTACCAAAATTGGTTGAGCGGTTGCAGAGAAGAAGCTAAAAATGTTCAAATGCTAACACACGACTACAGCGGAAAACAGATAGCGTTACAATACTTTACTCAGGTGACCTAAAAAGGTCTAAATTTTTTAAAGATTATGTGTTTTTATTAAAAAAAATCAGCCAAAGTGAATAATATTTAAATACACTGACCCTGGGTATCCACCCCCTTTCTCCCAGCTCGGCCAATCATCTGCTTGTAAGTCAGGAAGTCTATGGTTTTGCCGTGGAAGATTGGGGTCCTGATGATAACACGGCGGGCAGGAAGATTGACCCCGGAGGACAGGGTGGAGGTAGCTACCAGGACCTTAACTGACCCCTGTCTAAAGGCCCCCTCTAAAATGTCTCTCTCATCAAAGGTCAAACCTGCAAGATTAAAGGTCAAATCTGCAAGATCAAAGGTTAAAACCTGTAAGATCAAAGGTCAAACCTGCAAGATCAAGTCACAAATATCTGTCAGTGATGGATCTGAAATATGATTATCATACTGCTCAAATGAAAGAAGAGGCCCATGGGGCCACATCACTCACCTGAGCAATTTGCTAGGAAAAAGCACATGTATATCAGATCAGAACTGAAAGTTTACTGAGTTGGGGGGGGGGTTAATTTTAACCTCCAAGGGGGTCATGGTTTGAACAAACTAGAATCTACACTACTTGAGAATGATTCCATATAAATATCACTAAGCATGGATTTGAAGTACTTGAAAAGAGGATTTTAAAAGGTTTTGCTATATATACCTATGTTAAACTTTGATCGGGCATTTTGGCCCCACCCTACCCCCCAGGGTCATGATTTGGACAAACTTGAATCTACACTACCTAAGGTTAATTTCACATGAAATTAATCTTTCCTGTCTCAATAGTTCTTGAAAAGAAGATTTTAAAGATTTTTCCTATGTATTCCTATGTAAAATTTGATTGGCCATTTTGGCCCCATCCTACCCCATGGGGTTATTATTTGAACAAACTTGAATCTACACTACCTGAGGATGATTCTGAATGAGTTTCATCTTTCCTAGTCCAGTGGTTCTTGAGAAGAAGATTTTTAAAGATTTTTTCTATGTAAAACTTTGATTGGCCATTTTGGCCCCACCCTAGCCCCAGGGGTCATGATTTATAGAACCTTGAATCTACATTACCTGAGGATGATTCCACATGAGTTTCATCTTTCCTGGCCCAGTGGTTCTTGAGAAGAAGATTTTTAAAGATTTTTCCTATATATTCCTATGTAAAACTTTTATTGGCCGTTTTGGCCCCACCCTAGCCCCGGGGGTCATGATTTAAACAAATTTGAATCTACACTACCTGAGGATGAATCCACATGAGTTTCATCTTTCCTGGCCCAGTGGTTCTTGACAAGAAGATTTTTAAAGATTTTTCCTATATATTCCTATGTAAAACTTTGATCGGCCATTTTGGCCACACCCTAGCCCCGGGGGTCATGATTTGAACAAATTTGAATTTACACTACCTGAGGATGATTCCACATGAGTTTCATTATTCCTAGCCCAGTGGTTCTTGAAAGGAAGGTTTTTTAAAAATGCCACTTATTTTTTCTAATTCATAATTATCTCCCCTTGGAAAAGGGCATGGCCCTTCATTTGAACAAACTTGAATCCCCTTCACCCAAGGATACTTTATGCCAAGTTTGGTTGAAATTGGCCCAGTGGTTCTTGAAAAGAAGATGAAAATGTGAAAAGTTTACAAGGACGACAACGACGACGACAGACAACGGACAAATTTTGATCAGAAAAGCTCACTTGAGCCTTTGGCGTGATGATAAGCCACCCCATATGGCACGGTCTTCCCCAGGGTAGAATCTAACCCCACAGGAGTCCTCCTCAGTTGTTCTACGACCTCCATCAGGGAGGCTCTATTCAGGGGTAAAGGGGAGGAACAGTCCCTCTCAGGACCTGACAATGTAAAACAGAATTCATTACAGAGTAAAGCTGAATTAATCACAGAGTAAAGTTAAATTAATCGGAGTAAAGCAGAATTTACAAGGTAAACCAGAAATTATCAAACAGTGAGCCTTGATAACTTATAGACTGTACCTCTGACCCAACATAGAGACACATAGCTCCCCACATGAATAACATAAAGCAGAAAACATGCTTTTTCTTACGTCCTCACCTTTCTTCAGAATGCCATAGAACTCTCTGGCAATGGTCTCCGCCAACTTCTCACACCAATTCTTCGTCGGACAAAAATAAGCACCGAGTGTCCCCTAGCCAATGTTTCTAAGCACAGTGGAATCACGTGGTCTGTATCCCCCTTACACACCACTCTAAGATCCACTTCTCTGATTTTCTGTAGACTGGAATCAAAGATGTCTGCACCCAGTTTGACACACTCCGTGAGAGGGCGGTAGTCTGTGCGGTAGAGCATGGCGTTTAGCCTGTGTGACAGAAGGTCAAGGTTAGGTAAGGTAGCACTCATACCTACAATCTGGACTCATTTTTGAAGAACTTTAAAGAGAAAAGGAAACATCAAAGTAAATTCTTTTAAAAAATATTGAAACAGTACTGAAAAATGGTGTCATATAAAAAGTCAATAAATACTAGTGTACTTTAACTCTACCAACATATAGTAGAAATACTTGATATCGCGATTACTTGACTTTCGCAATGGAGGTAGGAAACCTCTGTTGGAATGGGGACAATGTACTATTGAATACAATGCAAGATCGGTCATTATAGAGTTTATAAGGATAGATAAGTAAAATATCCTGGCGGAATACCTTGCTTAAATTTAAAAAATCGCTGAACCAGCCTAATTAATTTTTTAGACAAGCAAATCCTAAAATGTTACATTTTTAATGATATTTTTAACTGTAGTCAGCGGTCTTTTCTCATATAATTTGCATTAAAAATCACCACATTTTTAAGCTGATAAAATATTCTAAACTTTCCTTAGTAAACAATCTACTATTTGGAGTCAAATTCTTGGCAATACATTGTACTTTAAATTGACAGAATCATTTGATTGTTACTACTGTAAACAATGCCATGTGTCCCCAAAATCTAGAGCTTTCTCGACTCTCAATCAAAAGCGTAAGTTAGATAACTGCGAATTACTCACGATATTACAGTACATAATTATTGACAAAGAAAAGTCCTGGTTCATTACCCACAATCCTCAGTGTCTGTTGTTGGCTTTTTCTGACTAAGGAATCTTATCTTGGTGAGCATCAGTTCTAGCAGGTAGCCCCTGTGTTGGTCTCCTACAAGGTGTAACTCGTCCACCACTATAATACCTGGTGGACAGGTGAAAAGAGTTTATTTAAATGAAATAATTTTGATTCTAGATGTGGACTAATTAAAAAGTTAAGGAAGTGAACTAATTAACTACCAGATATGTAGTTAAGATGTCAACTATCATCTGCCAATGAGAAATAGTCTAAAAATTTGATCATTTTTCTATATATTCCTATGGACCTCTTCTTCTAAAGGAGATCAATAAAGTCTGAAAATGGCCAAAATCAAACAGCTATCTTAACACGAAATTTCCATGTCTTAAACATCCATATATATTTTAATAAAGCTGTATGACAACAAACCAAGATTGCTGATATTGTATTACAGACCTAGTTTGTTGATGCTGTATTACAGACCTAGCTTGTTGATGTTGTATTACAGACCTAGCTTGTTGATGCTGTATTACAGACCTAGCTTGTTGATGCTGTATTACAGACCTAGCTTGCTGGTGTTGTATTACATACCTAGCTTGTTGGTGTTGTATTATACAGACCTAGCTTGTTGATGCTGTATTACATACCTAGCTTGTTGATGTTGTATTACATACATGTACCTAGCTTGTTGATGCTGTATTACAGACCTAGCTTGTTGATGTTGTATTACAGATCTAGCTTGTTGATGCTATATCACAGACCTAACTTGTTGATGTTGTATTACAGACCTAACTTGTTGGTGTTGTATTACAGACCTAGCTTGTTGATGCTGTATTACATACATAGCTTGTTGATGCTGTATTACATACCTAGCTTGTTGATGCCGTATTACATACATAGCTTGTTGATGATGTATTACAGACCTAGCTTGTTGATGCTGTATTACATACCTAGTTTGTTGATGTTGTATTACATACCTAGCTTGTTGATGTTATATTACATACCTAGCTTGTTGATGCTGTATTACATACCTAGCTTGTTGAAATTGTAATACAGACCTAGCTTGTTGATGCTGTATTACATACATAGCTTGTTGATGCTGTATTACATACTTAGCTTGTTGATGTTGTATTACAGACCTAGTTTGTTGATGTTGTATTACATACCTAGTTTGTTGATGTTGTATTACAGACCTAGCTTGTTGATGCTGTATTACATACCTAGCTTGTTGATGTTGTAATACAGACCTAGCTTGTTGATGCTGTATTACATACATAGCTTGTTGATGCTGTATTACAGACCTAGCTTGTTGATGCTGTATTACATACCTAGTTTGTTGATGTTGTATTACATACCTAGTTTCTTGATGTTGTATTACATACCTAGCTTGTTGATGCTGTATTACATAGCTAGCTTGTTGATGTTGTAATACAGACCTAGCTTGTTGATGCTGTATTACATACATAGCTTGTTGATGCTGTATTACATACCTAGCTTGTTGATGTTGTATTACAGACCTAGCTTGTTGATGCTGTATTACATACCTAGCTTGTTGATGTTGTATTACAGATCTAGCTTGTTGATGCTGTATTACATACCTAGCTTGTTGATGCTGTATTACAGACCTAGTTTGTTGATGCTGTGTTACAGACCTAGGTTGTTGATGTTGTAGTACAGACCTAGCTTGTTGATATTGTATTAGAGACCTAGCTTGTTTGTGTTGTATTACAGACCTAGCTTGTTGATGTTGTATTACAGACCTAGCTTGTTGGTGCTGTATTACAGACCTAGCTTGTTGATGTTGTATTACAGACCTAGCTTGTTGATATTGTATTACAGACCTAGCTTGTTGAGGCTGTATTACAGACCTAGCTTGTTGATGTTGTATTACAGACCTAGCTTGATGATGTTGTATTACAGACCTAGCTTGTTGATGTTGTAGTACAAACCTAGCTTGTTGATGTTGCAGTACAGACCTAGCTTGTTGATGTTGTAGTACAGACCTAGCTTGTTGATGTTGTAGTACAGACCTAGCTTGTTGATGTTGTAGTACAAACCTAGCTTGTTGATGTTGCAGTACAGACCTAGCTTGTTGATGTTGTAGTACAGACCTAGCTTGTTGGTGTTGTATTACATACCTAGCTTGTTGGTGCTGTATTACAGACCTAGCTTGTTGGTGTTGTATTACATACCTAGCTTGTTGGTGTTGTATTACAGACCGAGCTTGTTGGTGTTGTATTACAGACCTAGCTTGTTGGTGCTGTATTACAGACCCTGCTTGTTGGTGTTGTATTACAGACCTAGCTTGTTGATGTTATATTACATACCTAGCTTGTTGATGCTGTATTACAGACCTACCTTGTTGGTGTTGTATTACATACCAAGCTTGTTGATGCTGTATTACATACCTAGCTTGTTGATGATGTATTACAGACCTAGCTTGTTGATGTTGTATTACATACCTAGCTTGTTGATGCTGTATAACAGACCTAGCTTGTTGATTTTGTATTACAGACCTAGTTTGCTGATGTTGTATTACAGACCTGGCTTGTTGATGCTGTATTACATACCTAGCTTGTTGATGCTTTATTACACTCCTAGCTTGTTGATGTTGTATTACAGACACAGCTTGTTGATGCTGTATTACAGATCTAGCTTGTTGGTGTTGTATTACAGACCTAGCTTGTTGGTGCTGTATTACAGACCCTGCTTGTTGGTGTTGTATTACAGACCTAGCTTGTTGATATTGTATTACAGACCTAGCTTGTTGATGTTATATTACATACCTAGCTTGTTGATATTGTATTACAGACCTAGCTTGTTGGTGTTGTATTACATACCTAGCTTGTTGATGTTGTATTACAGACCTAGCTTGTTGATGTATTACAGACCTAGCTTGTTGATGTTGTAGTACAGACATGGCTTGTTGATGCTGTATTACAGACCTAGCTTGTTGATGCTGTATTACATACCTAGCTTGTTGGTGTTGTATTACAGACCTAGCTTGTTGATGTTGTATTACAGACCTAGCTTGTTGGTGTTGTATTACAGACCAAGCTTGTTGATGCTGTATTACATACCTAGCTTGTTGATGATGTATTATACAGACCTAGCTTGTTGATGCTGTATAACAGACCTAGCTTGTTGATGCTGTATAACAGACCTAGCTTGTTGATGCTGTATAACAGACCTAGCTTGTTGATGTTGTATTACAGACCTAGCTTGTTGATGCTGTATTACAGACCTAACTTGTTGATGTTGTATTACAGACCTAGCTTGTTGATGCTGTATTACAGACCTAGCTTGTTGATGTTGTATTACAGACCTAGTTTGTTGATGCTGTATTACAGACCTAGCTTGTTGATGTTGTATTACAGACCTAGCTTGTTGATGTTGTATTACAGACCTAGCTTGTTGATGCTGTATTACAGACCTAGCTTGTTGATGTTGTATTACAGACCTAGCTTGTTGGTGTTGTATTACAGACCTAGCTTGTTGATGCTGTATTACACACCTAGTTTGTTGATGCTGTATTACAGACCTAACTTGTTGATGTTGTATTACAGACCTAACTTGTTGGTGTTGTATTACAGACCTAGCTTGTTGATGTTATATTACATACCTAGCTTGTTGATGCTGTATTACAGACCTACCTTGTTGGTGTTGTATTACATACCAAGCTTGTTGATGCTGTATTACATACCTAGCTTGTTGATGATGTATTACAGACCTAGCTTGTTGATGTTGTATTACATACCTAGCTTGTTGATGCTGTATAACAGACCTAGCTTGTTGATTTTGTATTACAGACCTAGTTTGCTGATGTTGTATTACAGACCTGGCTTGTTGATGCTGTATTACATACCTAGCTTGTTGATGCTTTATTACACTCCTAGCTTGTTGATGTTGTATTACAGACACAGCTTGTTGATGTTGTATTACAGACCTAGCTTGCTGATGCTTATTACAGACCTAACTTGTTGATACTGTATTATAGACCTAGCTTGTTGATGTTGTATTACAGACCTAGCTCGTTGGTGCTGTATTACAGACCTAGCTTGTTGATGCTGTTTTCCTCCATCAGTCGGTTTATAAGTCCATTTCCTTTCTCTATTGTACACACCGCTATGTCCACCTGACTGAGCCCCCCAGGAGGGGAGTAACTCCCCATAAACCCGCTCACTACCACCCCCACATCCTGGAACAACTGCTGTAAACAAAAAATGAAAAGATTTAGAAGAGAATTCTAAGGAAAGACACCGACATATACAAAGTGCATTTAATGTAAATTTGTACTTATTTATATGCAAGGAATTTTTTACTGCATAAATTTTGAAAGAACTTCAGAGGCAGCATTAGCAAATCAAAAGTACTGGATTTAATAATTTTTTTAAGTGAATAAATTCATGTAAAATGTCTTGATCAACAGTCTTCTCATGAATTTTTTGTTTCTCACAAATAAATTCTAATAGCCATTTTGGGATAAATGTAAAAGCTAAAAAATAAGGAATCTACAGTATAACCTACATGTGATGTAAAAAAATATTTATATCTGACCTATTTACCTGTCAAAATGTAGGTCAGGAACAACTTACCTGTAAATAGAACATCTTCTCTCTGGCCACCGACACAAAAGGTAGGATAAAGATAGCTTTCTTCTTTGTTTCTAGGACCCGCTTCAGAACCAGGAGTTCTGCCACCATTGTTTTACCAGCACTAGTGGGGGCCGAGTATACCAGATTACCTCCCCCTAGAATTACACAGAAATAACAAAGATAGATAACTCTGCAGAATAACAGTTGGGGGGCTGAGTATACCAGGTTACCTCCCCCTAGAATTACACAGAAATAAAGAAAGATATGTAACTCTGCAGAATAACAGTGGGGGCAGAGTATACCATGTTACCTCACCCTAGAATTACACAAAAATAACAAAGATAGATAACTGCAGAATAACAATGGGGGCTACAGTTGGGGCCGAGTATGCCAGGTTACCTCCCCAGAGATACACACAAAACAATGATGATACAAGCAAGAAAGATAACTCTGATGAGCAATAATATCTGGTTATAAGGAAGAGCACATGAAAGGTGATGCTCACTCCACCATAGCACCTGATCCCACCACTGTGTGACTGATGTTTTAGAGATCAGAGTTTATAGCTCAGATTTTCCTACTGTATAAGTACTTTTTTCCGCATGGTATTAATTAACACTATATATGCAGTCACAAATTTTAAGCGGAAAACTGTCAAAGTTTACTTAATAATATGTTTTACGGTGTGACCATTGGGGCGAGCGCAGTTGTACCATCAATAACACTTGAGATCAGCCACTTCGAACGTCAAGCCGCACGAGATATCTCGACTAGCTGTGACGTCATACGACGTCATAAAGCTCGTCGGAGCTTACGGAGACAGCCGAGCGTCTGTTTGAAACTATAGAACTAGTGAAATTTTTGTCAAAAAACATTGCAGAGTTATTTCTTGTTTTTTTGAAAGATTTCTACAAACTGAAAGTCTGATATATGCTTTGCGTTATTATTTATTTATTTATTCGGCAATATTCGCGCAAAGGACATTGGGTAGTGCAGGAATTCTGGGAATGTTGCACAGAGAAATTTGGCTGACGTATGTACAGATTTCAATCCGAATTTCCTCTGTTCTTACACTTTAGTCTATTGAGCTCGCTTCGCAAGCGTCGCTTCGCGACGCTCGCTGCGCTCGCTATAAATGTAAAGCATAAGTGATCGTCTAAGAAATCCGCGTAATTTTCTACCCGCAGATTATTCATGAAACAAAAATTGAGATTCCGCGGAATAATGAAAAAGTACTTCTAGTTCTACAGTAATTTGCATTGTTTAAATGGACATTTCAGCTTGGATTTTGTTATCTCCACATATTTCATTTTGATTTAATTAATTAATTAAATTTTGCAGATAAATATTTGTTAGTTCATTAAATCCCAATCTGAAACATGATGAAAGGTAACTCTGTTGAATAATATTCAAAATTCATTACAATCTCACTCACCTAGAACCCCAGGTAAACACAGACATTCTGCTTGCCAGGAAAACATTGAGGTGATCCCCTTATCTGTGTATTGTTTTAATACAGGGTCAGGAAGTCCCCAGTTACTTAATAACAGCTTTTCTTCTGTAAAACCTCCATCTGTAGAAAAGAAATGTTGACACTGAATATATACAGATCTTTCTACTTTATGTTTGTAATGTCTAAATAATCTGTATTTATTTCACTCATTTAGCATCAAATATTTAGTTCCTAATGTCTACTTGATATTCTATATTTCTTTCATTTACACCAGAGACACCAATTGTCATTCTATGTTATTGTATTTAGAACTTGAAACTGTATTCAGGGTAAATTTCACCTTGTTTTGTTTTTACCCCTTTTGCCCTACTCACAGGTTGGCGAATTGAAAGCAAGGCAAATTCAAAGAACTTTAGACTAAATAGTATAATTTCTACAAAACAAATGTGACTGGACAAAATTAAAATGGGGTAAAATTAGTTGCAAGTGGGAAAGGGCAAAAATAACCCTGTATAGAGAAATTTTAAAAAAAATCATATATTGATTTCTTTTTTTGGCCTTTAACATTTTCTTGTTTAAAACTACTGTCGACTCTTTTGAATAAATCATTACTGTACACTCACCAGTATTAGCATTTTCCGTCATCTCTTGATTTTCAGCAACCCTTTCCTGTGTTTCAGAACTCATATCACCAGTATTTTCTTCTGCCCTTGACCTTTGACCTATCACATCAAGGTCAATCACATTCTGCTCTTCCTCTACACCCCCTCCACTGTCCTTTACTTTGTCATTGACAATTTCATTTAACACATTCCTTGGTTTCTTTCTGTTGGACTTTCCCCCTCTGCTAAGTCTAACAGAGCTATCTGATGTGGCGGGGGTCAGGTTTTCCTTCCCTTTCTTTGTACTGGAGGATTTGTTCTGGGACGGGAAGGGAGAGAGGAAGCTGTCATTTAGGGGACTCTGGAGGGTGAACAGGGACTTCATCAGCTGAGACTGTCGTCTTGGTAACGGGGTCACACATCCTGGTGTTGATGTCAGCTGACCAGCTCTGATCTTATTGGCTGAAATGTGAGGACAACACAGAATAAACCAAACAGTAATGAATGATAATTTCCCATAAATAACTTCAAACAGGGATTTTCCCCTTCCCTTGTGTAGGGCAAAATATAGGCCTCATTCTCAACAGCAAAATTCCTTTCAGGCGCGTAGCCAGCATGGAAATGAAGTGTACGCAGAAAACGGTCGGGGGTCTGGGGGCCGCCTTAAGGCCCCCAGTGGGTCCAGGGCGAAGCCCTGGTGGGGGCCCAGGGGGCGAAGCCCCCGGAAGCTCCCTGATTTTACAAAATGTTTCAGTCATTTTCTCGCAAAAGAAATCACGATAATATCACTTTTCTCGAGCAAACACTTAGCTAAGTTATACTGCTTCCATTGATACTTCGGGAAGAGAACGATAATTTATCAAATTAATTTACGCATATATTGGTATTGGAAAAAAGTTTCCAAGTGTATCAAGATAAAACAGAGTAGCAATTTCAATATCGTTATCATTGGAGTTTAAATATTTCAAAATATAAACGGGGGTGTTGTTGTCTTTTGGTTACCATCATATTTGTTAGCTGAAACGATTCGAGAATGCTTCAATTATATAATTCTTTAAATTGGTAACATCAGTAAAAGAAGCCATATTAAATGTATTATTTATTTTGTTCACCATAATTTAGATTGTTTAACGACATTCTTCGACATTTATTTATTACCACTACGGAAATTAAAAATCTTGTATATATATGTTACAGTAAATATATGAAATCAGGAATTTCATGTATTTCCTAAAACATTCAGTAAAAACATGTATTTACTGGCTGTTTTAGGAAATACATGAAATTACTGAATAGCTAGAAAATTCGTGTATTTACTGAAAATTTTAGCCAATTTTACACGTTTTTACTGAACAAAGCAGGATGAATAAAATATGCATATCCTTTAAAACATTCAGTAAACATACAATTATTAATTTTTTTTAAAGCAGCTTTTGATAAGAATTGTTTCTACAAAGCTGACTTTATGCATTAAATTTGAATTCCTTTATTGTACTTCTTGTGTAAAATAAAGTTTCTAATATTCACATTTCAAAAACTATTTCTAAAGAAGCGATAAATTTAGATCATTTAGCATCAGAAAAAGGTATTTACATATTTTTTAAATAATTTTTATTATAACATTTATAAAAAATGTACGAATTGTAAATTGTGATATAAGGGGTACTTCTGTTTTTTCGAGTCTCACGTCTTTAAAATTATGGTAAAATAGATAAGTTTTGCAATTTTCAGTTAATTCAAACTCAATTTGTTTTTTTTTTATTTTGAACTATGTAAATTGTTAGGGTGGAAAATTCCTCAAAGTTAAATTTTAATTTTAATTCCTGACTTTAATTTCGTTACATTATTTGTATTTTACAAGGGGAGGGGGTGGGTGGTTTGTTGCATTTTTGAGGAGACAGCATAAAAATTGTTTTATTTGTAAATAAGATGCTTCCGGATTTTGAATTTACTGTCAAAAACTGTAGCATTGTATGAATATCTAACAAGAAAACATTGATGTAACCATCAATTTTCGCCCGGGAAATACATAAAGTAAACAATGAAAAAGTCTTGATCATCAAACCGTTTTGATATGTGTGAAAAGGCATGCGTCTAATTGATGGAGACGATAGTCGCGAATATTTTGAAAACTTGTAGTCGGATGAAAATCAAACAAAAACGATACTACGTTAAACTTGATCAATTCATAGATATATAAAGCATAGAAATAAATTGAAGTTGAACACATACGTCATTTATATTCGAAAATGATTAATTTTCAATTTTAGAATATAAAACACGAACTGTGCAGAGTACGTTTTTATGCGAGAAGTAAAATTCAATGTTCTAAAAAAAGGGACCTGTCGTTTTTTCGATAGTAAATGATAAGCAACTTTATGTATTAAATATGAAAAACTTTTATATTTTTACAGATTCACTTTCTGGAAGTAAATATATTATGTATTTTGTAATTTATAAAGGTAAAGAACATTCTGATGAACAATCTTTTCAATGTTTAGAAAACCTTTAATTCTGAATAACTACTCCCACCCCAATCCCCATATACCAACACTTAAACTTATATGTATAGAGCAGCCCGGTCCTCCGGGCTGCAATAAAATAAGAAATGCCAGTAAGCGATATTATAGTTTTCTAGATAAAAATATATAAAAATAAGTTAATTAAAGTAGTTAGTTAAAGTATGTTGTGATATAGAAAACACATTCCAGTAAAAATGAAAGCAGAGTATAATTATATTTTAAGTTAATATTTACAAATAATATATTTTCAAAATTTATACATAAATAAAAGTTTATTTCAAATATTATTTATTTTCATATTGTATGCTCACTGATATGAACATTGATTATACTGTGCATCTATTCATATTTTATGATTCAAATTTTGAATTATCACACGAAAACGCAGTCAGTAGATATATGTAAAAAGTATTGAAAAGTTCAGTAATTACGTGTATTTCCTAACTGAAATTAGTAAATACGTGTATTCCCTAAACAGAATAGTAATTTCATGTATTTCCTAAAATTCAGGAAATACGTGAAATTCCTGGTTACACATATTTACTTTAACATATATATAGTCTTCTAAGACATTTGTAACTTTTTTTATGTCGATCAAAGTCCCTTAGATCGCTTTCCTTCATCAAATATTTCTCCGGATAATCAGGATTATGCGGATTACCAGTTGAAAATTTTGGTTCAACAATATTTTTTTCCTCAAGAATGTTGAAAGATGTTTTTGGAATTGATTTTAAAAAGGACTAAATTTGAATGTAAAGACATGCTGAATAAAATTTGAATCGAAACAATAAGACGCAAAATAATTTGAAACACGGGTAGTGCCTCTTTTTCCCCGAATAAATTTCTCTCTTTCATTTTTTCCTTCTTTTATTTTATCCCTCTTTCTTTTCTTTTCTTTTTTTTTTTTTTTTTTGAAAATGATGTGTACGCACTTGCGTACTTGCGTATAGGCAGCTACGCGCCTGCCTTTTTCACAAAAATGAATTCAGAAAGTTAATTTGTTCAAAGTTCCGGTAAAAGAAATTGCCCAGGTATTGGAAATCTGAATAAAATAAACAAAATTTTAAGAAACGTTGCAGAAACTTTATTATTTTAATTGATCTATTTTCTAACTTAGGTTCTAAATAGTTAAGTTAGTAAAAGATCAATTCTATTCATTGTAAGTGTTTTTTTCTTGAAAACGTTATGCAATAAAATTTCACAATAAGCAATAAAATGTTATTAAGGGGAAAGAAATAAGCACCTGGGGTTCCAAAATGGCGCTTGAATTGGGAAGCCGTGTTTTGTAAGGTGCGGAGTTTTCGGCCGGGAATGAGTGTTTAAAATAGAAGTGGGTCCCTGAAAAGTTTTGAAGGCTTCCTTTGTGACTGCTGGACTATTGCAAACGTAATAATTTAATTTTGCATGCTTGTGCAGACGTCTTTTCCAGTTTTGAATTGTGTAGAGCTGCCGTGAACAGTGAGTGGAGTTACTATAAATAGACAATGTCGACTAGTCAGGCAGGTGTCCTTACACGAAACATGAGCACAGGAGGCGAAAAATCAAATAAATCTAGCTCAAAGCAGAGTCCAGTATTGAAAACACCAACAAAAGGAGGTGAGGGTGAGTGGACACAGATTCAAATTCAATTAAAAGAAATAAAAAGCGATTTAAATAAAACTTTGAAAGCTGACGATGTAAAAGAGCTCATTAAAAATGTAGTTGAGGAAATGCTTCAAAAACATCAGGATAAGATTGAGAAAAAGTTCAACGACAAAATTGAAGGTTTAAAGCAAGAAAATAGACAATTAAAAGACAGTATTGAAAAACTGGAAGCCGATAAAAGGGCAATTAAACGTGAACTCGATGAGAGCAATGAAGCGTTAAACGATTTACACAATCGATTTGAGGAGAATGAAAACATGGCTAAAGCCGCTTTCGCTAAGGCTAACCAAAACGAGCAATATTCACGAAAATACAATGTTAAATTCCATGGTCTCCCCGAAACCGAAGGAGAAAATCCCCTGGAAATTGTCAATAACGCACTAGCAGAAGTAGGGGTGGAAATTCAAGGCAGTGATGTTGTGGCCATTCACCGAATCCCCGGAAAGCCGGACGAACACAAACCCATAATTGTAAAATTTCTCAACATTGACTCAAAAATCCGTGTCATGAGAAAGAGATCAGAAATAAAAGACTTAAAAAAGGGTTGGAAGGTGACTGATGATGTAACAAAGGCAAACGTTGATCTTATAACCGAACTAATAATAATAATAATAATAATAATACTTTATTTAAAGAAGATAACCCGACTAGTGCAAACGCTAGTCTTCCTCGGGGCCTTCTTTATAACATATATACAATGTTTTATACATTAAAGACAATAATTACAAACATGAAACAATAAAATATAAACACTTTGTTACAATAGAATAAATTAAATATTGGCATTTCATTGAAAAGAAAGGAAAACATAAATTTCATGTAGAACCAGTACGTTTCATAAGTAAAAAATTTTCAACACTACTTTTAAATATTGCAAGGGATTGGGAATTCCTAATACTAATAGGCAACTCATTCCAGATAATAACCCCCGAATATTGTAAAGAATTTTTGAATAAATTTGTTTTATATTTTGGTAAACGAAGTTCTGAATTTGTCTCTGAGCGTAATGTGTATGATCCAGAACTTTGAAATTCAAAAAAATCATGCATATAATCCGGAGACATATGATGAAATATTTTGAACATTAGAATGCTTTTCTGTAAATATAGAAGTTCGTAAACTGTTAACCAACCTAAAATGTTAAACAATGGCATTGAAGGTGCATCATATTTTTCATTTAAAATAATCCTAGCTGCTCGTTTCTGAAGTTTGTATATTCTATCGATGTGAGTTTGAGGAGAGTTACCCCAAATAGAAAGGCAATATAAAATTGATGGTAAAATAAATGCATTATAA